TTGAGGTTTTTTCTTTTCTGGTGCCAAATCTGTAGCTCAGTGTCCAAACTATTTTACGATCTGTAAATTACGATCAGCGGTGTGAACACATGCACGAGAGGTATCTGGAGCATCCAGAAAATTTACTTAATTACACTTTCTTTCCTGCCACATGTGTTTAACATCCTGAATAATAAGAACGAGACCTTAAGTAGTCCAGTGGGGCGTGTACTTTGCTAAAAAGCAGGGGAAAGGTTTTGTTTGCAAAAGCATAGAGTTTGTTTGAAGGGTGCCCTCCTCTAGAAAACTTACTCCATCATTACTGGCATTGTTCATGACATGGCATTGTGTGTGCAGTCATATGCTTGTGTGAAGTGTCTACACAAACACTCACTGTAATGTTTGCTATTGTGATTGCAAACAATATTTGTAGATGTCATAAAACCATGACCGTGACACAACCTGAAATGTTGTTGTGATAGTTGCATTACATACTTAGCAGTGTGTGACTTCTGTCCTTTCTTTGATTATGCTCATTACACACATGCATATATAGTTTTACAGTCGTTTCATGTCGCAGTATGTCAAGCTTTTGTTTGCAAGTTATTTTATGATTAGTGTGTGTTGTCAGTTTGTATAAAGACAGAATTACAAGACAGCTTGCAATTATGAAAACATACCAGAGACAATAATTGCTGGGAAGGGAACTGATGATGACAAAAACACAGGGCATGGCAGCAGTTAGATGTTTGTGGAGACACGAAGTCGGAATCCACAAAGGATGTCTCCCATATACTTTAACAGTTATCTGAATTTAACGATGATGAAACTGTACATTCTTGGCAAAATGCTGGACATTTTATTTAAATGCTTTGTGTGAGAATAAGAGATTTCTTAGAGTCTATTGAACTTTGAAGTTGAAAATTGTCAATACATTTTTTCATATATATTTAAATGTTTTTTTTTTTTATCACAGGTTGCAATTAAACAGCAACTATTTGATCCTGTCCAACTACATATCTGAGCATGTCAGTGTCATGTAATGTATTGATTCCATGTTGTACAAGAATAATTTGTATTAGTTGATATGACAAAAAGATTAAAGATGATGCATACAACATATAAATGAAAAAGACAAAAGTCCACAAAATTAAGAACGCCACATAACATAACTTATTTGATGTACACAGAGAAATGGTAGGTCAGAAACAGGAGTGAACATATGTTATCATAAAATATATACTAGATAACAGATTTTATCCGTTAATTTAGTTGATTTGTTATATAGATTTTCAGGCTTCTTTCCATCAGGCTCTAACTTTTCCTGGTTCAATTGCCATGACTTATAGCCAGGTGACTGTTTACCCAGGCCAGACAAAGTGTGTTTGGCCATACTACAGCTATTGCCTTTTGATTTACAGAACATTAATCTTTAGTGGTCCCATGTCTGCATAGCATCTCAAGCTTTGATTCAATTTGCACGCCTGTGTTTGTGTTTACAGACACCCTGCTCTCTTAAATATGGAAAAGGTACAAAAAAAGGACACTAATCTTAAATAAACTCTGTAATTATGTTTTGTCTTTTAGGGTCATTTCAGGCAAATCTGAATCCATCACTGAATTAAAAGTTAAAAAAATATGTCAGTAAGACATCTGCCAATAGACACGAAAACACCAAAACAAATTATAATTTTGTAAGACACTTCTAAATTACTTGGTCTTATTTGACAGATTAAGTTGAGTTCATTCCAGAACGGTTCAGTGAAATGTTTCTGAAACTTGTATTTTATTCTTCATTCTATCTGGAATTAAAAATATCATAGACCATCTCAGTCTGAGACTAACAAGCATTAGCTAATTTCAGGTTTTAATACCCTGGACTGTCAATGTAAAGTCATTGTCCTGGTGATTGTTTGACCCTGCAGGGCACTGTGAGCAGCATTGTTTACTTTGTTGGTATCACCACTCTGACTACTTTAGGCTTATGGTATAATATTATGTTGTATCTCCATTATCCTCAATACAATGCAAAACTAGAAATGATTTGAAAACAGAAAATCCAGGAGAGTGACTGTTTTTCTACCCATGTAGCAAATCCCTGCTTTTCTTCTCCGAATTTAAATACGGGCCACTGAGAAACTTACAGAGGGATAACACTGGAGACCTCTAGATAAAAAGGATATTTATGTGGTATAAACAACTTCACGAGAAACACAGATTGAATGGAATCATTCTTTTACATATTTTCAGATAAAAAACTTGCCCCCCTCCAAAAAACCTTTAAAAAACTGAAAAAGCAAAAGCCAAACCACAAAGCGGAAGATCCTAGTGTTTTTTTTTATCAGCAGCATCATGTCTCTTTCAGGCATGTTCTCCCAAACCTACATCTATCAATACCCTGAAGCACAAAATGGAAATAAAAATACACTTCCACAAAAGCTCTGGTCCTTTGGGAGAAGACGACTCCCACCCCTTTTCAGTGGTGCTAAGACACATTGTATTAAAGTCACTGAGAGAGAGAGCTGGGTGTAAATGGGCGTGCATAGTTTGTGTAAGGCAGAGATCAAGGAAAAAGAGAAAGAGTGAGTGAGATACATGCCAGTACTTCCTCTCCACCCATTCTTTAATGTTCAGCGAGTAACCCTGCAGTGCAAGCTTTTGTCACAGGCTTAGAGAGGCTCTTTGCCAAATGAGAGGCTTTGGCGACATATGTCACTTCAGCGAGTCTCCTGTCACTCCATAGACACTTGAGTGGAGGGGCGGGTAAGGAGGCGTGTCTGTGTGCCAGGAGAGAGGCAACGTGAGGTAGTGGAGGAAGGACCTGACAGAGTGGCTGGTTGAGAGAGAGTTGCTGGAATGATCCCTGATGGTCCTGTCTGAACTTTTGCTGTGTTGGGCTTCCGCTAGAGAACCACTTAAGATGTAGAATGACTCAAAAAACAGTAAGTATTAGTTTAATTAATGAAAAGTCTGATATTATTAGACCCTGGGTAAAGGTTTCTTTCTCTTTTGTTGAACGTGTATTTGAATAGAATAATGTGTACACAGATAATATCTGCATGACTCACTAACAGTTTTTACTTTCCAGCTGCACATAATCTGTGGAGGTGCTGAGTGGTTTGAGGGGTGTTGTACTAAGTTTAAGCTTAAAGAAAGGGGGAGGCGTTGTATACAATGTGTATTGGCAAGGATTAGTCATGTAGTAATCATACTCCTGGCCATCTACTGGCTTAGGAAACAAAATCCCTGTGGATTTGTGGCTATGATCTGCTATGTGTTTGGCTAATAGATGCCTTGGCTCCCAAAAAGATGCTTTGTTATCTGTTTACATAGGGAGCCCAGCCCCATTTTATGCACTAAGGATTTTGCCTTTTAAAGAGTTTGTTGAGTTATCATTAAAGAGGAAGATTTGCAGATCTCCACATGCATATAATACTTGGTAATTTGCCTAAGCCACAAGTTTCTTTGGGTTTGCACCAGGCACTGGTTTGGTTGAACAATAATAAATGTTTTCCATTGGTTGTTGCTGTGCTGTCAGGATCAACACAAATCCGGAGAACATGTCCCACTTCTCATGTCACTGGAAGACAGTGGGCCTCACACCTAACAGGGGCTCTGCTGGGTTGATGTGGTTTTCTGTTAAATCACACTGTCACTAAAGGTTTTACTTATGTTTGTGTAGTAGTACAATAGTTCTGTGCAGTCCTGCACATATGGGTGTGTGTTTGTGCCTTTGTATGTGAAACACACTATGCAGTAGAATCAGACTTAAGAATAAAAATGGAACTACAGCTTCATTACATCATGAAAATGTATGTTTACTTCAAAAAACATCTAACTAGCTTTGTTTAATCACAAAAACACCCTATTGCAAATAATACCCTGCCACAATCTCTCAATTTGTTTAATTGATTCCAAATTCAAGCAGCTTAATCCTGAATCCAGGTTACAGCAATTACCACGTTAACCCTTCTCACTAAGGAGGGACAACACATGCAGCCTTATGTCCTAAGGAGAACCCTGAGCAGCACTCAGTCGTTGTTAAGCAACTTACTGTTTGACTGCTGGAGCTCCCCCCGCCTTCATTCTCCTGATAGCAGGATTATCTGGAGGGGTGAACCCAATTGGCATTGCCAGAGTTGCTGCCACAGTCTCAGAACAAAGCTGTGAAATACTGACCAGCTTAGGCCAATTTATAGTCTGCCATCTTGGAGCTAGCAGTTTTAGCAGACAGCAGATTGTCCTTTGTGCCAGTTGGGTTTACCGCCATGTGATGACACCAGCCAGGCTCTTCAGTTCAAAGGGCAAAGTTCAGACAAGTGCTCTGCTGTGTTGAACTACAACATCACAGCAATGAGGGACAACAGATACTGGCTGGCATCTTTGAATTAAGCAGTGGTTCTGTAAGTGGGCTTCATTAAACAACTTTTTTTTATATACATTAAATATTTAAGATGGTGAATGAAAAAGTGCTCTAAAATATAATAATATTAAAGTAAAAATGAAGGATTTTAAACAGTTTGTTTAAATTTTAATAGTTCATTGTTCATTTGCCAACACACCTTTGTGACTGTTTTACCTTTGAACACAAGAAAAATGCCCTTTAGGTAATTACATTTACTTGTAAAACATCATGACAAACATCATTCTTACAATGGACTGAAATGATCAAAACAGGAGGATCATTAAATGTACTTTAATCGCAGTTAATAGAGAATTTTTTAAAGTTGGTTTTTATGTTGTCAAATCTTATTTATGTATTTTCCACCTGGATTCCTTTAGTTTAATTGGCTTTATGAATAGCCTATTTTAAACATTGCTGCCTTAAAGTATGTGTTATAATTTGCAGCCAGTTAAGAGCGAAGCAACTCTCTCGGGGATGTGCATTCAGCTCTGCATCTCTCTGATTAGAACAGATGCTTCTAAGGCACTTATGCAACCACTTTAAGAAATGAAAGACTGTGCTTTTTTTGTCCAAGTTGAATTAGAACCTCTGACTTCTTTTATTCTGTCTTTTCCAGTTCCTCTGTGTCTTACTAATTCAAAGTGACACCAGGTGATCTGCATCATTCTCATGATCTCTACTGTCTTCATTCACCAGTGGAGAGTGATGAGGTTTGCAGAAAACCTGCAGCTTCTTCTACTTTTGGCCTTGACCTCCAGAGCCACAGGTCTCAGCATCCCACTGGAAGGTAAGGGTGTCATGATGCATATTCTAATTGTGATTCTTATTTGAATGATTCAGTATCACTTGAAATTCTGAGATTGATTTTTTCATTTGCTTGTCTTGTCAGTAAACATGTACAACTGTGCTAAATGTTACTGTGTTTGTAGAGGTTACTTGTTGCAAAATGACTACTTTGTGGAAAACAAGTTGTTACAATGTGCACAAAAGTCCTTGAGGATGAAGGCAGCTTGCCTACGCACCCTGCGGTGGTAAATGCTCTGCAGAGAGGGCAGTGGAGTCCTGGTGATCTTCTCCACAGTCTTTACCACTCTCTGCAGGCGCTTGCGGTCCATAGCAGTAGTGCTGCCATACCAGACAGTGATGCAGCTGGGCAAGATGCTCTCAATGATGCAGCTGTAGAAGTTCCTGAGGATCCTAGGTGACATGCCAAACCTCCTCAGCCTCCTCACGGAGTATAGCTGCCGTTGGGCCTTCTTGACCAGCTGTGTGGTGTTAAGTGTCCAAGTGCGGTCCTCACTGATGTGAACGCCCAGGTATTTGAAGCTGCTCACCCTCTCATCTTCGAGCCCCTGGATGAACAGTGGCTGATGAGATCTCCTCTCCTTCCTCATGCCCACTATCATATCCTTCGTCTCGTCCATGTTGAGGCTGAGATTATTGTCCTTGCACCATGACACCAGACCGGCCACCTCCCTCCTGTAGGCTGCTTCATCCCCGCCAGTGATGCGACCTATCACTGCGGTGTCATCCGCGAACTTTAGGATGATGTTAAAAAGCAATGTAGATGATAGCTGGATATACACTCACTGGCCACTTTATTAGGTGCACTTGTATAATTGTATGTATTTCATTGCAACACCACATTATATTCAGAGGTGTTTCTATTGTGACCCTCTCAATAGTAAACATATAGTTAGTTAACTCTGGCTAACTTGTAGTGGATTTAGAGAGCCTGTCAGTAAGGCTCTGGACATTGTGAGGCTTTCTTAGCTGACATGTCTCTTCAGTGCCACATGGAGGATGGGGATAGTCCCTGTGGACTGGCAGACCAGGATGGTGGTCCCTATATTTAAAAAGGGGGACCAGAGGCTATGGCCAATTATTGGGGCATCACACCGCTCAGCCTCCCCAAGAAGGTTTATGCCAAAGTTCTGGAAAGGAGGCTCTGACCGATTGTTGAACCTCAGATTCAGGAGGAACAATGTGGATTCCGTCCTGGCCATAGACAGTGGATCAGCTGTTTTTCTGCCTTTTCAGTCTACGTGTGTTTTGTGGACTTGGAAAAGCCCTATGACCCCGGGGGTTCTTGTTGGGGGTACTGCAGGTTGTGTCCATATTCTCGGTAGTAAGTCACGCAGGTTGATTAATATTGGCAGCAAATTCTTTTCAAATGTCTTTGGATTAGCTTGTGCTCAGCATGTTTTGCAAAGACAGTGGCAGCCCCAGTGACTGCATAGGGCTGACTGAAACATACAGGTGGGAGTGCACTGGTATAAAGTGATACTGAATGAAAAGATAACTGCCAGTCTCAAGAGGCTTGGCTGGAGAGGGTTTTTTCAACATGACAATGATCCCAAACACACTGCAAAAATCACACAGGAGTATTTAAAGAAGAAAAAAGTGAAAACTATGACCTGGCCAAGTATGCTCAAGTGCTATGTATCTAATAGAACACCTTTGGAATATTTTAAAGTAGAAGGCAATGCAGCAAAATTCCTCCAGCCAAGAGCAGCTGAAAAAACATCTGTGATGAATGGCAGAACACCTCTTCACAGAATTGTACAAGACTGGTATCCTTCATGCCCAGAAGGACAGAGTCCGTCATTAAAACTAAAAATAGATGTACAAAACAAAAGATTTTAAAAATAAAAGGATGGAATCTCACTAATGAAGGGTGTGGCAGCTTCTGTTGGAGTTGGTTCGTAAATATGGACCTTGTCAAGATCTGTTATGACTTCCTGTTTTAGACCTTTATTTTGACATTTCCTGTCACATCCCTCCCTCACCTGGCCCAGCTTGACTCAACCCATAACTGACCTCAGTCACATTCACCTGTTGCTTGTTGTTTCCCTGCTCTTCCTAGTCACAACACTTTCACTGGTGCTGTGTTATTTCGCTCTGTTATTTCATGCTATTTCATGTTATTTCTTTGTCTTTTGTCCACTCATGGCAGTTCTGCTCTACATCTCCTGCTTTGTCATTTTCCTTCACTACACTGTAGTTTGCTCTTGCTCCTGACTGCTACTACATTAGCTCTTTCTAGCCTGTTACCACCTGGTATGCCTTTAAAAGTCTTTTTATTCCAAAGAAATTCTGCCAACAAAGACTGTTATCCTATGTTACTCACCTGCGCTATCCTGTTACTTACCTGTACCTATACCTTTTCAGTTTCTGTTACTGCTCATGCTTTGACCTGTTTTATAGGAAGCTAGCAGGGTAGCTGCTTATGAAAAATAGTCATTTCACTTACACAAGTCCTTGTGTTACCTGTTGAGTGTGAGTTATGCTTTTCACTTGTATTCATGTATCATTTAAGAAAATGAATTGTTGCTTATTTGTTTAACTTGTATAAGAGAGAGAGAGAGAGAGAGAGAGAGAGAGAACAAAGGTTTTTATTGTCAATTTACTATATGTGCAGGACATAGAGAAAATTGAAATACCGTTTCTCTCTCACCTAGTACTGAATGCTATACCATTTAGGAAACTAAAATAGAATAAAAGCAGAGTAAAAATAGAGTAAAAAGAAAACTAAGTCAAAGTGATTAGGATAAAACTAAACAGTACAACCTAATAGGCTATGACTCAAACCATGTACAATCATATCATATAAGAAATTGTATTATTATATCCTAGTTATTGTTTACCTTTGGCGGTGTTTTGCTACTTTCCTGTGTTGCTGTTGGTCTGCAGACTGTATTCTGTGCATCTTACTCGACTTACTATTTGCCCAGCTGATTAAGACATTCCCTTGTTTACTTGTATTCCTGTTTTGCCACCTTAGAGTTCACGCCTAATATCCTGTAACTTTTTGCATTACCAGTTTTGTATTAAATTCTGGAAGTGCTACATGTGATAGATTAGTCAAACATTTGGTGTTCAAATTAATGGGCTTCAATGTCTTAGGATTTGGTTAAAAGGAAAACAAATGTGTTCAATAAACAGAAATTGTAATTAACATTGCAGTAATATTACCCAGGGTTGTACTCAGCTTTGTTTTATAATATATACTTTTTATTTCAACTGTCCATCCTGCTTGAGTGCCAATGTTAGCATCTTTCCTTCTAACCTGACTTAAATCAAACTAAGTTGCAAGTGTTGCTGCAGAGGTTTCTTTGTTTAGGGCTAAGAATGCATTGCAGGTGTGCTATTTTAGTTCCCTGTACTTAAGGCACCTTATTTGTTAAGATTATGTGGTATTGTTGGCACAACCTGGCCACGTTGCTGACATCTCAGCTTCATTCAGGACAGTAGGCAAGAACGAGAAACAAACTTACAAGTTGTATTTTCTTTTCTCAGTATAATATTGTAACAAAAATTGAACCAGTGTTTACAATTAACATTTTTGTGTTTTTTTTGTTTGTTTTGTGTGTGTGTGTGTGCATTTTTCTTAATATTATAGTGGAGCAGCTTCCAACCATAGTAACTTACTCATCAGGTCCCATTATCGCCCTTTCTCGTGACAACAATATTACAGTGACCTGTGAAGCCAGGGGTAACCCACCACCAGAGTAAGTGACATCATGATTTCTATCATAATATCAAATAAATCAATGATCAAAAATGAACTGGGAGAAGTTCATAACTCAATTCATAAAACACTGATCACTGATCAGAGTTTCATTGAAAGAAACCTGTATGTTTTGCTCCAACAGATACAGATGGACAAAAGATGGCAAAGACTTTATCCTTCCCTATGTCACGAACAAAACAGACCACACATATGGCAGCTTTGTGCTTCACAAGAAACACCTTGCCCAGTTCCAGGGGAAATACAGATGTTACGCCTCTAACAAGCTGGGAACTGCCATGACAGAGGAGATTGAACTGATTTTCAGTAAGTAATCAAGAAGCTTATCTGCTTTGTGAAAGAGTTGACAAATTATTTTCAGAGCGAGTTGTCATACAACTGTTTTTTTTAACAAGTTTTCATAACAAGGTTTTCATTTTGTGTCTGTTTTTTGAATTAGGTGACCCTAGGTTTCCAAAGGAGGTAATTGATCCCATTGTTGTTGAGGAGGGAGAGCCAGTTATCTTAAAGTGTAACCCTCCTCAGGGTGTGGCCCCTCGTCAAATCTACTGGATGTCCGCCGGTAAGCCAAGAAACTTGTATTTTATGTTGAATATGACTGTCTGTTGGTTGGTTGAAAAAAGTTAATTGCAACTGATTGGTGATGTTGATTGCAACTTCTAAAACTCGTAAAGCTTTTGCATCACTTTCTGCTGTGTCTCACTTTTATGTTTATTGTGCATTAGTGGAAGGGGCAAAACACTTGCCCAACACTGCAGGCTTCAAGGTTCAATCCCTGATTAATGGGTACATCCGACTTGGTTGTGTTCCAGTCAATATTATTGCAAAGGCTTCAGTATGCTTTAAATGAATTAGGTCGCAGAGAGGGGGTTAGATGCATGAATTATATAAACGTAACACACTTTTGGACATTCTGCCCTCAAAGACATTTATTTTGTTGCATGAGAGAGAAAATTAAATCCTTGCTTTTCTCACCTTCCCTGGCCATTAGCAGTGCAAGGCAGGAGTGATTGTTTCAGAAAACTACAAACTGCATTATATCCACATTATGATTTAGAGTGGGGTAGTGTAGATAATGTGAAAGTTTGTCTGACTCACTCCTTCCTGAAGTTTCTCACAGATAAAGAGAAGTAGGTGGCGACAACATGTGCTTTGGAAGAGTCACGTGTCTGTCCTTAGCAGTGACAACAGGGATAATTAAGGAATGGTACACAGTCGAGGCCCCCAAGTTTATCACTAGCACGGCAGAGCCCTTGTCCCACCACTGCCAGAGGAAGTGATTTACTGGAAGGTTCACCTCAGGTCTGTCTGAAGTGCTTTGTCAATAGGGGTTTAGTTTTCTATCCTACCTCTTGAGAGGTTCTCAAATGCCTCCAATAAACCTGACTAATGCCAGAAAGAAAAACATGAGGTACTCAGAAAGACTGGGCCCACAGGTATAGGACACAATGAACTGAAACACTTTAGACTGTTTTAAAACTTTTTTCTTTAGTCTTAGTTTCAGATATTCATATTTCCAGAAATTATCACAACAATCAATAATTTGGACATAAGTTACCTGATGTAGAGTAGCTTGACTGAAAAGTAGACACTTCAAGCAGTGATGTCTTCACTACCACCAGAACACTGTACTTTGTGCATGATTTGATGAAAATATTCAGTATATTGTACTGATACCTGTCATTCGTGACCCATTTTTCCCCTCGGGGACCAAGCAACATAAATTGGAATCAAATATTTTTTATGAGTCTGCCTTGAATGCTGAACAAACAGCCAGTGCTTTCAGGCTACGGCATGTCTTGAATGAAGCTGTTAAGTACTGTGAATGAGCTTCTTTGTAACTTAAAGTAAATAGTAGCTCTAAGTAAACCAAATATGCTGTCACAGTGTGCTTAGAGGATGAGTTCAGTCTATACAAGGAAGCTCTTCAGTGCATTTTCATTAATGTATAGCATATACTGTATATGTCAGGCTACACTGTGTTGCTTATCATGTGACCTGAGTCTCCTTATGATCAGACTCTTGATGTAATTGTATAACCTTTGACTTGTCCTTCTGATGCACCCAATGAATATATATGTGAAAGTCCAGTTTGTCTTCTTACTAGCCACAGTTAAAAACATGGGCTGACATTAGATACGGACGTTGTTGACATTGATAGCATGCTATTGATACAGATATGTTTTTTTTCAGATCTCGAATTGATGGCGACCTGTACTTCTCTAATGCCTTACAGAAAGACAGTCGTCAGGATTACTATTGCAATGCCCGCTTCACCAGAATAGGCTTGATGGTCCAGAAAACCGCCATGGCTGTCTTAGTCAATAGCTGTAAGTTTGCAAAATTATCTGTGTGACTTTAATCAAAATACAGACAACTGCACAACACTGGTTTAGATGAAAGATTTTTATTGTCAATTCACTATATGTGCAGGACATACAGAAAATCAAAATACCGTTTCACTCTCACCTTGTATTGAATGCCATACCATTTAGGAAACTAAAATACAATAAAAGTAGAGCAAAATAGAATAAAAAAGAATAAGAAAACTAAGTCAAAGTGATTAGGATAAAACTAAACAGTACAACCTAATAGGCTATGACTCAAACCATGTACAATCAGTGATAGTAGTGCAAATAACAAAGAGATTGTCAGATGGTTGTGAGATTGAGATGCACATGGACAGTAGTGCAAATGACCAACAGCAGCGATATGATGGTGAAAACAGTCAGCAGCAGATTTACATATAATATAACAAGACGGGGGAATGTACTGGGTTTGTGCAAAATAGCAGAGGTAGTCTTTTTATGTTCTGTGGTGGGTCACAGTCCAGGGGCAGGGGGCAGTGTTCAGCATCCTCACAGCCTGGTGGATGAAGCTGTTTGTAAGCCTGGTGGAGTGGGCCTGAACACTTCGATACTGTCTCCCTAAAGGCAGGAGTCTGAAGTGGGAGTGTGAGGGGTGGAAGGTGCCATCAGCAATGCTGATAGCTCTGCGGGTGAAGCGGGTGTTAAAAATGTCCGTGAGGGAAGGCAGAGGGGCGCTGATGGCTGTATTCACTATGCATTGCAGGGTCCTTCTGCAGGAGGCAGTACAGCCTACGTACCACACAGTTATGCAGCCAGTGATGACGTTCTCAGTGGTGCCCCGGTAGAAGAAACACAAGATGGGGGGTGGGACACTGGGTCTCCTCAGTTTGCGGAGGAAGTAGAGGCGTGTTTGCGCTTTCTTGGCCAGTGATATGGTATTGTTAGTCCAGGAGAGGTCCTCAGAGATGTGCTCCCCCAGGAACTTGGTACTGCTCACTATTTCCACTACAGCACTGTCACTGGTTAGAGGTTTTCACCTGAAGTCCACAATGATCTCTTTAGTCTTCCCCACATTGAGGGAGAGGTTGTTGTCCTTACACCACTGGACCAGTTGGCACATCTCACCTCTGTAGTTGGCCTCATCATTGTTGGTAATGAGGCCAACTACAGTTGTGTCATCTGCAAACTTGACAATGTGGTTGGTGCTGTAGGTTGGCACACAGTCGTGGGTCAGCAGTGTGAAGAGCAATGGGCTGAGCACACACCCCTGCGGAGCCCCTGTGCTCAGCGTGATGGACTTGGAGATGTTGCCGCCGACCCTCACATTTTGTGGCCTCCCTGTTAGAGAAAGTCCAGCACCCAGTTACACAGAGAGGTTTTGAGTCCCAAGTGTCCAAGTTTTTGTATGAGCTGCTGAGGGATGATTGTGTTGGATGCTGAACTGAAGTCTAGGAACAGCATTCGCACGTAAGAGTTCATTAAATCTAGGTGGGTGAGGGCTGGATGGAGAGCAGCAGAAATGGCATCTTCTATGTACCTGTTTGACCTGTATGGAAACTGGAATGGGTCATGACAGGGAGGAAGGATGAACTTGATGTTTTGCATGACCAGCTGCTTGAAGCACTTCATAATAATTGAAGTCAGTGCTATAGGCCGATAGTCATTGTAACTGGTTGGGTGGGGCTTCTTTGGAATTGGAAGTCCAAGGCATTTTCTTGGACGTCTTGAAACACATGGGAACAACCGCTTGGCTCAGGGAGATGTTAAAGATGTCCGTGAGGACATCCTTGAGCTCTTCGGCACAGTACTTTAAAACACAACCAGGTATGTTATCCGGTCCAGCTGCCTTTCATGGGTTAATCCTGGAGAGGGTCTTCACACTGGCTGTGGACAGACACACAACCTGCTCGCCCGGGGGAGGGCTGGTTTTCTGTGCCGGTGAGTTGTTCTGTGTTTCAAAGTGGCCAAAGAAGTGACATTAATAACAGACCCCTGAGAAGTTAATGTAACGTATGCTGTATCTTAAAATCAAACAAATAATACAAATCATAGAGCCTATTTTTGCTTTTTTTCTGAAGTGTAGAATGAAGACATTACCGTTTTCTTTCAGGTGTTTTTATTGGTATTGTAAGATAGTCCTCTATGCATACCAAAAAGTAGGGCTTGCCTTGTCATGTTCATGCTCTAAGAAACCCTGTTATGACAGTGGATTGAGCAATACATGTCAGAAAAGACAAAGCATAACTACCAGCATTATTCTCACAGTATTTTGTTTTTGATCCAGTGAAAGCTGACAATGAACCTGCTGACAGCAGCAGTCCCAATGAGTGATATTCCCACATTAAAGTCACAGTATCAATCAAAACATTTGATGAGATCAGGCAACACAATGCATGTTGCAACAAGCTGCAGATAACAGACTTGACTAGATGCTTGTGTGTAGTTTAAATGACAATTGATTAAAATTATACATATGAATGAGGAACACTATTGTCTGTGGTCAATGCAGCTGAAGCCCCTGAAGTGAGAAAACCTGGCCTGCTACTGCCCTCTGGTTTTCAGTCAGAGAAGGTGCTGATGAAGGGAGAGAATTTGCAGCTCGAGTGCATACCAAAGGGATTGTATGTATATTACTATCACAACCACATTGTCACTGTATACTATGCAATCCACTATCATATTTCTATACTATTATGGCTCATGATGTCATGTTGCAGCCCCACTCCAACAATAAAATGGAAGAAACTGGCAGACAATCTGCCTTTACGGACACAATATAAGAATTTTGGAAAGTTACTGACCATCACTGCTGTAGAAGAGAGGGATGAGGGGAGATACACGTGTACAGCCAACAATTCTGCTGGAGAGATTGTCCATTACATTGATGTAATAGTGGAAGGTAGGTCAATATCAGGAGCTAATTATGCATGTATTTGTGGTTGCATTTGTTTTTGCTTCCAAGACAAAGCTGTTCACATAGGGATGGAAGTTGTTTTGAATCAGACCAACACAGCTCTTTTTAACATCCCCCAGAGCCACCAAAGTGGCTAACAGGACCTCCACAAAGCCAGCTGGCTGTGATTGGGTCTGATGTTCACATCAAGTGCTCGGTCAGCGGAAAGCCACTACCAACCATCACGTGGAGAAGGAATGGAGAACTTTTTCGAGGTGCGTGGGAATAATTCCAGTTCTGGTTTTATGCACCTTTTGGCAACGGGCGTGACAATAGTACAAGTTCAAACACACAACCCTAAGTTCAAGCCAACAATCAGCTGTTCTTCTAAGGTTTCTTCAAAGTTCATGAGACAGGCTTCACAATCAATGCTTTATTTGAGAATTTAAAATACAAAGTACATTGAATACAAGTGTAGTTTTAATAGATTTTTAAAATTTTCAATACTGACATCACTGCTAGCCTTAAAATAACGTTGGCTGTGCTTTAGTATTGTTCTAAAATGATTTTGATGTTGTTATTCTGCCTGTGTGGTGTTGTCAGATGACCCAGACAGCTACAGACGAGTGCTTGATGACACTGTGGTGCTTCATAATGCCAGGCCAGAGGACAGTGCTGTCTACCAGTGTGAAGCCTCCAACAGTCATGGCAGTATTCTGGCCAACGTTAACATCATGGTCATGAGTGAGTATTATAGCACAATATTAGGCCTGCGCAGCCAGTGAGAACATAGTTATTACAATATAAACACAATGACCACTTTATCAGGTGCACTGCTATTGTCACTATCTGGGAAATTATCTTTCCTTTTCCCCCTTGTCTTTAGATGTGGCTCCTATGATACTGACAAGAGACTATCAAGTGTACATGGTAGTACTCGGAGGGAACATCATCATGAACTGTAGTGTTTTCAGCTCTCCACCATCCGAAATCTCTTGGTAAGTCATTACCAGGAAAATAGGAAATTAACCTTGTTAACATCTGTCTGTGAGGACATTGTGACAGTATTGGGACAGAAGAATATCACACCTTCATTCGCTGTAATATGTTTTCCTCAGATAACTGCAGTTTTATTCCCACATTTAAATCACTGTTATCAGTCTGTTCTGTGGTGTAGCCTAAAAATGAGCCAAAGCATATTCAGTATCACTACAATGAGTCATGCTGTTAACTTCACACTGCTCCAAGTGTCTGCTTGACATAGTCTGATTTTGACACTTATGTCTGTTTAATGAGATAATTGTCTTCCGTTCCTTGGAAATGGGCTAATTAAATCCTATTAACTACCACCGCAGCTCTGCTACAGTTCACTAATGGGAAACAGGAGCTCTGACAGTCCATGATAAAACACTCTTAACTTTACTAGGAGTAATATGATAGTACATCTGATTCTATTAGGTGATGTTTCACTTAAATCTATTCAACAAGCCGAACCATGTTTTGGTTTCCTTTACATTATACTGTAACTCAAACCTGCCTGAGAAACTTTACTTTGCTGTTAGCAATCAACTGAAATGCAATGACAAAATTGGTTAATAAGCAATATGACATGCTGAAAATTATATACTGTATGGAATAGAAATCTTTTACTGAAGTGACATTAAGTCACATACGACCATTTACCAAAAACTGTGGTTTCTCAAAATCCAGCAGTCAAAAGTTGAGGTGTGATATTTGTTTGTGCTCTTTTCTTTTGATTATGACATTAAAGACATTACCAAGATTGTCTTTTTTTTACCTGCATAATATTACTAATTTCAGATTTATTCACTCCACTAAAACACTAATTCATGCATTTGTATCATCTAGATTAGGATATCATAATGTTCTGGTTTCAGGCCTCCCATATGCAAGCACTAAAAATCTTCAGATGGTACAAAATGCAGCATTGAGAATCTTGGCCAGATAGAGTTTGATCATATTACACCTACTCTAGCCTCATTACACTGGCATCCTGTTCATGTTAGATCAGACTTCAAGGCGCTTTTAATGACATATAAGATTGTACCGGGCACTGCACCGCCATACTTGTCTGATCTACTACTTGTACCTTATGTGCCATCATGCTCACTACATTCTCAGTAAGCAGGACTTTTGGCTGCCCCAAGAGTGAGTAAGAAATCATATGGTCGAAGGGCTTTTTTCTGAAGACATTAGAATGGCAAATTCTATTGAATAATTACATATTTTGTTTATATGCTGTTTTATTTAATCTTGTTATCTCTAATTGTAACTATAGATAATTTAGTGATTCCTTATATTGTAGATTTGTTTTCATATATTTGCTGTTTTCAATGATATCTTATTTTAATCTTGTACTTTAATACTCTCAGTGTATTTTTATTAATGTGTAAAGTGTGTTGAGACACCATGGTGTGAGACCACACTTTAAATATATTTGATTTTTTTTTTTACTAGGCATGATTATCTTGGTTCAAATCTGACCTAAACCATTTATATTTTGAAATTGTAGCAAATGGCTAGCTGAATTGTCAAACTATGATATCCACTTTTGCTGTCAGACATGCTGTAGATACACTTAAAAGGTGTGAAAACTTTCTCTCCTAGGGTCAAAGATGAGACTCCAGAACCCATCGAGGATGAACGATTTATTTTTCTCCAGAACGGATCGTTGCAACTCATCAGCGCAGACAAAGACGACAGTGGGAGTTATCTGTGTGTTGCCAATAATAGCGAGGGCAAGTCAGCAATCACAGCTATACTGGATGTGAAAGGTATCTCAGCAACTTATTACTGCTTTCTTTAAGCAGGAGGTTTACTAGTCAGTGCACACAGAATAATTCTTCAATTATTCAACAAATAATATAACACAAACAGTGTTATGAGGTTTTACATGAAATCTACAAGTTTAAAAAGCAGCAGATGGAAGTCTAATTTCTTTTCAGCATGCTCTGCTGTGATTGGTCAAGTAGTGAAAAGTACGCAGTCTGGCTTTGTTAGGTTTTTGGAAACATGCTTAAAAGTGTTTTAGCATTTGTACTTTAGATTTATCTTTCATGGTTGGTATATAAGACAGAAAGATGTAGCATATTTAGAAATATATTTTTCATGGGCATTCCTTAAATGCAAATTACCATGGACATTTATTGAGACATTTCTATCTTGATTGCTCATTTCACTCATCAAAGAGGCACTTACTATGAAAAAGATGTTTATAAAAATACATTATTAGCCTCAACATCCATCTTTTTTTTTTAAGCATGCATAAATTCTGAGTGGTTATCTGGCCTCATCCTAACAACAAAATATGTTTAGTTTGGTCATTTTCCCCTGATATTGTTTCATATTTAGACTCTACAAAAATAGTAGCTCCACCACAGGATGTGCATGTCATCAGTGGGACCACAGCCCAGTTAATATGCCAGGCACAGTATGATAAAAATCTGGAGAGCAGCTTTGAGGTAGTGTGGAGGAAGGATGGCGAGGAGATCCTACTTTCTTTGGAGAAAAATTCCAGGTATGTGGCAGGTGTGGGATAGTTTTTTCCAAAAGTATTCAACAGTGTGTGTTTATGTTAAAGATGTTTTTGTTCAGTGTCTATATTTGCATGCTACTGCTAAGGAACTATATGTCCCAAAAGATGCGTTTCTTAGCAGTACCAGCAGATGGTATGATCAGTGCCAGTAGACTCAGAAGGTCAAATGCAAGGGATACTGTCCAGTGATTTCCATCGTTTGCTTGATCATTTGGTTGGTTACCTCTTCTGTAGAGACTATATTTTTGTTTGGTTACTAGTTAATTAGCAGGTTATCTAAAATACTAAAGTTTCATTGACAGTTCTTGGAAAATTAGGCTATGACCCAAAGAAAATAGTTTTTCATACAAATCCAGATGCATTTTTTAAAAAAGATTTTCTAGTTTTTCCAAGTTTGGGAGACATTGCATTTTGAAGATTTTTGCTCTTTTTTCATGAAATGCTGCACTTAACTGAGTGATATCATGACACAATGAAACCATCACTATGTGCATTTTGCAGATCACTATTGAAATATAAAGAAATGTAATTTTTTTTTCTGTTAAGTTTAAGTAAAATGTTGATCATTATGCATCCCTAGTGTGGGTACACTGTATACTCCTTGAATGCTTTCTAACTGATTCATTAATAAAACATGGTTACACTCATATGTTGTTATTCATGTTGATTCATGTTTCAGTATCCTAATGAAAGTTCTTTATGTTCAGGTTTTTTGTGAAGAGTGGCATGCTGCAAATCATGAATGTGAACCTGAGCGATCAGGGCATGTACACTTGCACTGCCAGAACCAGTCTAGATGAGGACAGTGCCTCTGCACTGCTCACGGTATTGGGTAAGAGAAGTCATTACATATTGATTTAGCATTTTTGGAAATAATTTATTACATTTAAATTCACTATCTGTCCAGATGACAGCTGCGACTGAACATTTGTGTGTGTGTGTGTGTGTGTGTGTGTGTGTGTGTTGCAGACGTTCCTGATGCTCCAACGAATGTAGTGATATCTGAACTTAAGAGTCCGAGGAATGTGCACCTGTCTTGGGTACCTGGGAGTGATCACAACAGCTCCGTCACAGGTAGATGAAGTACAGAATCTGATTTCTACACACACTGAATCTTGTTTGAAGGATGCGGGTGTAGTGGTGCTAAATAATGCAACAGAGAAGCTACGTTTACTCAGGCATCAACAGTTACTTACTTTAGTTTTGTGATGTGCACCCTCAGTCATTACGCTTAAGTTTAAAGCCTCCATGGTGCAATTACATAATAATTAGAGTATAATACAGAAGAACAAAATTGTTTTGGATATTTTAAGTGTAAGAGGTAACTTTAAAGTAATTATGGCATATGGCTCTTTGTCAACAGTGACCATTCTTAAGACACACCCCTTCTAAGACAGTAGAACAGAAGTGGAGATTTTTCATCAGCTTTATTGTAGAGTCAGTAAATAACAGATAGTATATACGTAGATAATGGCACGAAATACATACACACTTGGCCAATTTCACTGGATTTTCAGTGACCGTTGTGTGAATAAAAAAATTGCTTCACAGCAATAGGTGGAAGTATGTCACCTAAAATATGTGGAGTACTGATAAGAGTCGATTACAGTTGTTTAATCCAGGTTTCTTTTCAACTATTGTAGGTCATTTAATGTTCTCATGTGTCTTGTGTTGTGAAAAGGAGAGTTAACAGATTCTGCTGCAATAGTCACTGGGTGCTGAATAAAGTTCTTTAAGTGATGGCTGCAAAAAGCTTTGTGCTGAGCAGTCTGGTGGGAAGCTTGTCTTTCATTTATGATCATTAATTTCTGGAGTTTAGTGATGATAGGAATTTATATCAGTTGATGAAGCTGCTTTTACAGGTTTATAATGTATATTAGCTTGGATATGTGTTATCTTTAATCAGAAATTAGCTCAGACATGCCTGAGGAATATCCTTTGTGAGAGTATAATGTGCACTTTATTTGCTTAATTAAGTGTCTTGGAGCAAAAGACGTTGGTTGCAAGGCGAGCTCTTGTCTAATGATATCTGTGGAGCTCTCAGTTTGTCTCGGAACCAGGAGAATGTGTGTAGAAATCTTTATGCATTTAATTGGCTGTTGAAGTGATTAGAAGTTATAGCTGTCTCATCACTCCCTGGTTTTCTCATTTATTGTTCCCTACATGATAAATGATCCATCTGGTGCTGTTGGATACTTATGGATCAAAATAATTTTCAACATATGTAAAGGTATAGTGTGTACTAATTTAAAAAAAGTCATAATTTTCATTAAGAGATTACCGCAAAGTGCATCCATTTTACACAGAATTCTACATTTACATAAAGTGAGAGAAAGTGACTATAGATAAGTGCAAGATAGGTGCATTTTAGGCTACTGAAGGTAAAACTGGGGAACCTGTAGTTCAAAGCTGTAAACATTTTTTAGAGTTGGATAAGTAGATTAATACCACTCATGTCTGTGCACTAGGTTGTCTAAATAACATTTTTTGTTTAATCTGTACAGTTGCGAAGATAAGGTAGTTACAGCATACCCTCTTCTAAAACCTATCTTTAAGCTAAGCTAACTGCCTCTCGGCTCCAGCCTTGCACTTACCTCACAGACATGACAGCAGCTTTGATTTTCTCATCTAAATCTCACAAAGAAAGCAACTAAGTATAGTTATTAAAATGTTGAGCTATTCCTTTATTGATCTAAAGAAAGTGTTGCACGCTAGATAATGACTGAAAGTGAAACTAATACTGTATAGACCAGTGCAAAGCATGCCTTTTCAGTAGTTGTGATTGTCATTCGTATGGTGATGAGTGAATGTGGATGCCTCCTGTCTCCTTCATAGAATTTATAGTGGAGTTTGAGGAGAACCAATGGGAGCCCGGTAGGTGGAAGGAGCTACACAAAGTGCCTGGTAACCAGGCAACAGCCGAACTGGCACTACACGGACATCTTAACTACCAGTTCAGAGTGTATGCTGTTAATGCTGTTGGACCTGGACCCCCTAGTGAGCCCACTCAGAGACACAAAACACCTCCTGCTGGTAAGATTTACTCTCTTTAATTAAAAATTTCAGCAGTGGTTATCTTTGTATTGTGAAAGCATACACTGCTTTATAAACATTTCACTCAGTCATATTCATTACAGCCACACTGGATCTCTTCTTCTCTACTGCTTATATTATTGTGATGTGCAGTGATAAATCAAGAATATAATCAATCAATACACAAACAATTTCCTGAATAAGAGGTTAATCACTGTTCCTCTCTCAAACCAGCTGGATATTGGAGAACCTCACGATTTCACTGCTCAAAGTTCAATCTTATTGAACTCTGCACAAAGTGATTGAAGCAGGTTTATTCATGATCAGAAGCAAATTTGTTTTTCCCCTGTCCCACACATACATGAATGGGAACCAAATTTTGGACTAATTACTCCATGAAGGAAAGCCAGGTTATATCATCCACAGTGTACGCCAGACCAAATATGAATGGTTGTTACAAACTCTACAGCTGACTTTGTGCTTCATTAACAGACTACAGTTAAAATAGTATGATTAACACAGACTGTTTTCATTTCTAATAATTGTGCACTTCTCCAAAGCTCCTGATAGGAACCCAGAGAATATCAAAATTCAAGGGCCTCTTCCTCATCAAATGGACATCAGCTGGGAGGTAAGAGAGACTTTATTAAAAGCATCCCCATGCACACTGCACACTAGAAACCATTATAGTCTAAAAGCATTTTTAATGATTTATAATTCATCAGTGCATTGTCCTGTTGTAGCCTCTTTTGCCTATTGAGCACAATGGCCCAGGCCTTGAGTACAAGGTGAGCTACCGAAGACTGGGGGTGGAGGATCTCTGGCAGGAGTACGTGATTAAAAGACACTCCTTTGTTGTGAGAAACACATCCACCTTTGTCCCCTATGAGATCAAAATTCATAGCAGGAACAGCCTTGGTTGGGGACCAGAGCCTAAAGTTGTCACAGGTTATTCTGGAGAGGATGGTAAGTTGTAAACATAATACTTTCTCTATTCTGTATGTGTTATTGTTACTGCAATATAATCATAATTTTAGTCAATGATACATATGTACAGTCATGGCCAAAAGTATCGGTACCTCTGCATTTCTGTCAGATAACTTCTGCTGATGCATTTAAATACACCGTGAAGCTAGCACATATAGTTGTTGCTTTGCTTGTGGCTTATTGTGAACTTGCTGTGTTACTGTATCTTTCCCTGTCTTCAGTTATCTTTTGGCATTGTCTGCGAGAAAATGTGTCAGGTTAGGCTCTCTACTATTTTCCTTTTGCCCATCATTTTAACCCCCATGCAGGTGTGCAGTAGTGACTTTTCCTCCCATCTGAAAAAGAAAAAAAAACCTTTTTTAAATCCAGCAGGTGGCAGATAACCTTTGTAGAGCAGAAGGATGTCAAATTTCCACTTCTGTCTCAGACGCTGTGGGAGATTTGACAGATCACGACACACTTTGTGCTGCAGGTCTACTGAGGCACGGTGGCTGCCTCCCCTCTCTAGTGTCTGCTCTGCTTGTCCTTTCCCACTACCAGTATAGTAACATGTAGTGCAGATACTATTTAGAGCATTTTTATTTCCTGTTTGGTGTTGTATATTCCCTGTTGAAAGAAACATTTCTAATTAAGCCATTTTGTCTGATGCCCAGCTGTGTGTGTCTGTGCACTTTTTGCTAATCTGCCAGCTTCAGTGTTTATTTACTACCATAACCAGCAACAGATCAATTCTACTCAGCCTAAACCAAAAGTATGATCTTTTCTGTCCATAAAATAAGCCCTCTTACCGTGCTTTTAGGCTGCTTCTGTACAATGTTATTTTGTTTTACTTAGCGTATCTTCAAACATTGTCGTGTGTTAATTTTCTTTCTTTTTGGTAGTGTTAACAAAACTTTGTGAAGGTGGCCTGTTGTTTGCACTTCTTGACCTTTCTCTGTGTGTTCTTCAGTTCCTACCACAGCACCACAGGATGTAGCAGTGGAGGTGATAAACAGCACTGTTCTGAGAGTTAGCTGGGCGCCAGTTCCACTTGCCACACTGAGAGGTCATCTGGGAGGCCACAATGTAGGTTTTGAAGTGTTTTTCTCAGACTACATTGTGTAACTGAAGACTTTATTGGCAACAGAAGAACTAAATGAAACAGCAGTGGCTTTGAAGCACTTCACAGTATTTTACAGTTGACCAATTAAGTGATGATGAGAGACACAAAGAGGCAGTTATACCATTAAATAGTGTAATAACATGTAGCAGCTACCATATAATAACTTGATAACTAGGCCCAATGTATAAGTACTGGTACAAATCTTACCTGCCATTTACACAACAATACTAGTGCAAAAACATAATTAGCTGCAGGTGGCACTATTGGTTAGAAAGTAGGAGAGTTAACTTTCATTTATAAAGAATGTAATATGTTAATGGGTCTAAGAATATAACCATTAACATACATCTAACTTATCATTCCAAACAAAATGAAAATAGTAAAGATCATTCCTCTGTACAAAACTGGTAACAAACACCACTTCACAAACTATAGACCTGTCTCTTGCTTCCACACTTCTCAAAAATTCTAGAAAAACACCTCAATGAAAGACAGATTCACAGATAAACACAAATTACTTGCACTCAAGCAGCCTGTGGTTGCAGCATAAACAGCTCAACATCACTGGCAATACCTGAACCAGTTGAGAAAATTACAAACTCAATAGATTATAAAAAATCTATGCAGTTGGGGTATTCATTCATCTTAAAAAAGCTTTTGACACTATTAGTTATATTCTAATCAATAAACTGGAAAGGTATCGAATTAGGTGAATATTTTTAAATTGGGTGAAAAGTTATTTAAGTAGTAGGCAAGAGTTTGTGAAGTTGAGTGTGAAGTTGAGTGACTATGCTTCAACATTGCTTATGGTGAACCCCAGGGTCGGTGTTGGGTACTAAATTATTTATTTTGCATATATATGGCTTATGTAAATGTATCACATGTCTTGAAACTGGTTTTGTTTGCTGATGATACTTATATTTTCTGTTCGTGAGGCAGCTTAGAATAACTATTAAAGGAGATAGTAACAAATTATCACTAAATTAAACAAAACTAAAACAGGTACTGCACCCAAATACACTAGCCTCAATCAATTAGATCACCCAAACCCAAGGCATGATATAAATGTGTTTAGAGCAAAGATTCCATAGTAGTGTGGCTATAAAACACTGATGGTCTGTCTAGGCTGAGCCGGACGCTATGAGTGACACATTTCTTGTAATAACATAAAACTCAGTTTTCTAAAAACAAAGTTACAGTATATGTTAGTTTAGCAAATTTGTATCTGATAAGGGGGTGTCACAGTGCTGCAGCTGTTAGCACTGTCGCTTCACAGCAAGAAGATGAGTATTCCTCAGGCTTCCTCCCACTGTCCAAAGTCATGCAGTGACTGGTGACTCTAAATTGCCTGTAGGTGTGAATGAGAGTGAAGAGTTGTCTGTCTCTAGGTTATAGACTGGTGACCTGTTCAAGGTGTAACCCGCCTCTTGCCCACTGCCAGTGTGGACTGGCTTCACCTTTTGGCGCATTGTCCCTGAACTTCACACTGCCAACTATATAGATTTTGCCATTAAAAGAATGTTGTAGTCAGCACAGTGATTATCAGACTGACAAGGTGATTGTGTGATGTAACAACTCATCACTTTGGGGGAAAAAAACCAAACTACATTTCAGATTCACAGTTAACATTTGATGTCTGGTTGAAGATATCTGCCTCATTCACAGGTGAAACTAGGCATTACAGTAATTGCTGCTTCTCAACATATTGGTTCACTAGTCTGTCGGTATGCTCTCCCTGTAGTCTGTTCAGACTTGCTCCTCACCATCTTCCATTACTTCCCTCTAACAGGTTCACTTGTTGAGGAAGTGGAGTCTGCTGAATCCCAACAAGAGTTTAAATGAGCGGCAGTCCCTATCATTCCGTGGGAAGAGGAGTCATGCCATTGTACATGGCCTCAAACCTTTGTCAGAGTACAGACTCACTGTCAGCGTTTTCAACAACAAGGGCAATGGGCCCAGCAGTGACCCGGTCACCTTCAACACCCCAGAGGGAGGTGAGGTGTTGGGAATGACACAGCACTATATTTTGTGTTGTACTGTGTGTCAAACCACTGATTCTTGTTCATTGACCAGTGAGCTGTAAATGAAATATAAGACAGTTAAGCTAACTGGTTCTGATTAGGAGTCATTGTTAGACTAACAGAAAGGAAGGAAAAAGCAGAGCTTTATGATGTGTTGTAAACATTGTCTGTATCAGTGTAGAACAGTGTTTGTGTGAAAAACAGAGAGCCTGACCTCACAGTTGAGTTCAGCCTTTTTTGTCAACATTTTAAATGTATTTTTAGGATTTGTGAATCAATTCAGAAGTGTAGAAGGTATGAATCGCATTTCTTGTGTGAATTATCTTGCAATTCTCTGCATTCAAATTAAATCTCAGAATAACATTGAACAAGTAACAAATAGAAAGGGGGAAACAAAGCCTGCAAAAGGTTGATTGCACATAAAAATATGAGCACAAAGCCACTTGACATGAGGATCTTTTTTGGATGTAATTCAGACCTGTTTTTAGGTTATTGTAAAATAATTTTAATACTTATATAAACTAGCACTGTGTGCTTAACCACATCCAAGTAAACTGCATGCTGCTTGAGAAACATGTCTGTATAGTAGATGCATAACATCACTGTCTGTTTCATACATAGTTCCTGGACAAGTGCCTGTACTGACTGCCTCCAATGCCCAGAAAGACTCCATTTTGCTGGTATGGGGACCACCGCTGGAGGCAAATGGCATTCTCACTGGCTATCTCCTGCAGTACCACCTCAGTATGTACACACAATGTTTTTGATTGATTACTCACTGACGGTGTCGACTCTCAGGCTTATAAGGTTTTTCATTAATAGATTTTTCTTAGCTGTAGCACAGTGCTTTGTCTGTGGTGTGAGACATTGTGGGTGGTGTGTAAGCAAGACTTTAGGTGCAGCATCAGTGGAGGAGAGTTGGAAAAAGAGCAGGTCAGATGGGAGGAGTGTAAACATTTGAGTATACAGATTGTAAAATCTAAAAAAAAATGTTACACACACTAATCTGCTCTTATTCCCTTTCCTCTGTTCTTGTGTTATCACAGTGGACACTAGGTGGTACTGTTCAACATTAAACATTCCCTAATGGCAACCCAGTTGTGCAGACTTCTTTGGACTGTAGTTGACAGTTTCCGCAGTGTTTCTTAACTTGTCCTTTTGGGCTGCAGGTTCTTCACCAAAAGGATCATTTAAGTCAGTACTGTCTGTGCCTATTCTACAAATTTCTTTGGCATTTATCACCCAGAATCATTTCCTTTAGGGAAAAAAGCACCCTTTATACAGTTAAAGTGAACAAGTGAGTGTGGGGCTTTCATTACGCTCTCTCCATTTTCAAAGCCTACATTCTCGTTGGCTGACATTTCTGAAGTCTTTTGTGTAAAATGTGAAGGCAAAGACAGCCCTTTGCCGCCTCCACCAGCACCCACGGAGTCTGGCTAGCTCTCTATCTCCCTTTCCTTTATGCTTTTTCCCATATCAGATGTCAGACTATATACAGATATTCCCACATATATATTGCAGTCTGTGAGTGTTATGAGTGTTTTTTTGTTGTTGTTGTATTGATTCACCATGTTACTCAAGCATTTTTCAGAATTAGTTTTTTCTGTTAATTGTATGAATAAAATATATCACATGTTGTACTGTATCCACAGTCTGCACATTCACACGAGGCATGAAACTACCATGTAATTAGTCACTGAATAATCTGCTGGTATTCAAGAACATAAAATATGCATGTGTTCCATGCATTAAACAAACATCAGTGTTTAGAGGTGCACAGCAGACTATTCAGCTCTTACCTACATGTCAGTATTGGCATAATAATGACATCACCGAGGGTGTTTCAGGAGAAGTGTGTTGCTTTTTACTTTGATCTATAATGCACATTTAATGATATGTCATGCTACTTGTGATTGCTGATTTGCCTCCTCGTCTTTATTCTGCTTTTCCTACCTGTTCTTATTTTTTTTTTTTTTTTACACTGTTGGCTTTCAAAGTTTTCCCCTCATAATTTACTCCGCCTCCTGCTTTTCTTCCTCCATCTCTCCACCTCTTTTTTTCCATCTTTTGCAACTTGTCCTCACCCACCTCCTCTTGAGCTCTCTATTGCCTCCTTTCATCTTCTCTTGCCTTTCTTCCTAATGTATTCCTCTTTAGCTCACCTGTCACGACTTGTATCTGCTACTTTCACTTTCTGCATGAACTAGCATGATGTCTTCATCGTCCCCCTCCCTCAACCACTGACCCTCATTATAGTTGTGGTGCATTAACATGCAACATGGGCAAACCTTGATCATTTTTTTAGCATCTGTCCATTGAGGACTTATTCATGTTGCATGAACTGACCTGACATCTTTCTCTTTGTCTGTAGTTAATGAGACCACTCTGGAGGTGGTTGACTCCCAGGAGATAAACATCACTGGGGCTGACACCACCCAGCAGCAGCTGCAAGACTTAGAGGAAGGCAGCCTCTACCGCTTCCTCATCAGTGGCTGCACTCGAGCAGGTTGTGGACCTCAGTTAGCCCAGGAGAGCTACACCATCACTCAAGGACGTGAGTAGATAAAACCAGTGTTCCTGTGGCGGTAGTGTCTAAAAAAAATTGCTACCCAAAAGAGATGCAATGTGTTAATTCATACAACATGGAAATATTTATGCTAATGATTTATATATTAAACAATTTTTATATATACAAGCAGTACCTGTATCTTTACAGTTTGCCAAATCCGATCAAATAAACCCCAATGATATCATCAGGATTGCCTTTGCTTGGAAACTATGTTACGTAAAGCTGGTGTTAGAGACTTCAGCCATGGAGTTTTAGAAAAGTGTATGTATTCAAGGCATGGATGATTAAAACCAAACACCTCACTGAGTGGAGGGAATTGTAAGATCTAGGTTTTGGAACCTGGTGTACACTGTATAAAAGTCAGGATATTTTACCATCAGTTCTCTGTTACATATTTGTGCCTCTCTGGATTTTGACTTGTCAGAATTGTTGTTGTTCTTGACTGAAAATAAACTCTATTTTGCCCTTCACACAAATACAACTTAAACCACTGAGGAGAGAAAATTAGAACATAAACAAGAAAACGGTTGAGCACAAAGTAATATCAGTTATTCAACAATGGCGTACGCACAACAAAACAAGTTTTAGTTATAGGATAAGATACTAGTAAAGGAAGGAAGTCACTGAAACAGGTAAATTGATCACTGAGATAACCTCCTAATAACCTTTTGAATGCTTTTTTACATTTAAAAATGAGCATTTCTATGGAAGTACATCTGTGCCAAACCATTTGAGGGTTAACAACCCACATTTCAACCACTACCAAGTTTGGAACTCAACATTTGAGAGTGCACAGGCACAGAGGTCTAAGCGCAGAATGAGATTTGAGAGCTAATCATGGCAATGTGTGTACTAATTTTTCTGCGCTCTGATTTCTCCATTAGGTTTTTATGAGAAACTACATCAGTGGCAAAAAGTTTGAAGGTGCACAAAAGTTCAAGTGCTTTTCAGTTTGCAAATCAGAATTTGATAGTACGCAGGCATGGATTTGTAAGAGCAGAATCAGATCTTAGAGCGAGGGAGGACAGTCATTAGCATAGCACATGGACTTGAGCAAGAAGCAGGATCCTGCCCCACTCTCAACTGTGATTCTTCAATTACAAACCCATGCCTGCATGCTCATAAATTCTGATTTGCAAGCTGAATAACTCTCTAAACATGTTTTGTGCACTTTCAAAACTTTTGGTGTTGACAGGCTTTCATACAAAATCCAGTGGAGAAATCTAAGAGCGCAAACTCAGAAACAAGCTTATAGTTATGTACCTGCACACTCTCAAATGAGCAGAGCTCAAAATGCTATTAGTATACCCTCAAACATTGTGGTGGGGATTTACATCCATGATAAGAAGGAGTGCTATTTTGATCACTCTGAGATGCCATTTAAAGTGCAGTTTGGATTCAAAGACAAGTATAACATGTGGTCTGATCTGGGAACCAAATGTGTTCATCCAGGTTTAGACTGGAGAAAGATGGAGTGAGGTCAAGGCATTTTGTTCATTTCGCTTTAGCGAAATGGATAATTATCGTCAGCACGGCTGTGAAATGAGATACTATTTAGTCTGTATACATCACTTTAATGAAGCATGTGAAGTGAGAAGATTGAGCCTGAGGTCAAATCATGTGCTCATTGCTACAACAAAATACTTACTTCCTGGACACTATCAGTTACTGACGAGATGCAAAGATTTCCTCCCAATGATGTAAGTCAGTGTTGTCATCAGTTGTCCATTGTAGCATTTGGATCCATTTACTGTATATCCAGATGCGTTGGTTTGTCCTAGAGTCTGACTGGAAGTTCTCCACAATATTTTATTTCAGAAAGCTCTTAATATAAAAATAACCTTTTCAGTATATGAGGCTTGATAGGACAACACAGTCAGTCATTGCCAACCTGAGAGAGAGTGAATACAGCAGTTGCCATCTTTCACTACCAACTTGGTGGCAACTATATTGGATTTTTGAAATCATTTGCAAACTCCTCCCTTTTTGATGTTGAGGCTAGATTATGGATGTCAGCAATTGGGCAGGTTTTAACAGCTGTTCCATCAGAGAGGAGAATCCTCTTGAGCCTCCTCTGTTTTTCTGCCTAGTTCAGAGAAATAGACTTGTTGACCAGCTTTGACAATTCCTTTCAGTGACTTTACATGAACTCTCATTCAAATAGAGCTGATAAATCACAGTGATGTTCTGTCACACAACATTATAATGACCTTGGGTGTTCATCAGCTTGTTGCTCAAGGTGTTGTCCATTTTAGCCACAGAGCTGGTCTCACTGAGTGAATTAATGAGCTGATAAATCCATGAGACAAGACCCAGGATGGTATTTGAAAGAGGAAGATGTTCAATCTCGACACAGATAATTTGTTTTGAAAAAATATTAGCAGTTGCAAGTCTTCCGTGTCATCCTGGCTGACTGAATGGTATAAAACAATAGTTTACTCCATCAGCTATGTTGTTTGAGCCATAACATGCAAGTCCTTAGTTATATAATTTGATTTAAGCTAAAACGTTAAAATCTGTGATTGTATCATTTCAATAATTCAAATGGCATAGTTTATAGTAAAGCCATGCAGATTCTGTGTACATCTCTTGTCTCTTATGAGATTGTTCCTACATCCTCAGTTGACCCAGACGTCGTTCTGGTCGACTGAGGATGTAGGACAGTCCAAGTCTCTTATAAAGACTCTGAGGCCCGAGGAGCAATGACTGAGGATGGTCCTGGAGGAGCATCCAATCACCAACTGATAGGATCAAGGGTCCGAGGAAAGGACCTCATGTCGTTAATAACATGTTTCCTCGAGTCCTTTCTTCACATGTTTTCCTCACATCTTAAGTGGGCGGGACTAAGACTCAAGGAAAAGCAAGGGAAATGATGGTGCTTATAAGACTCTTAGGATGTCCTATGCAATCAGGACTTACATTGTAGAATTTCATGACAGTTAAGTTTCTGAAAAACTCTTCATTACTTGGGAGGCAAAAACTGAATACATGATAAAATGTCTCTCCACGGCCTTTGGATGTTTTAAGTTACTCATTCCTTTCTTTTATATTTCTTCTGAGAGGCTCTGTATGTTGGAGGTGGATGTCCAGCATGAGAGCCATTAGATGCATTGTTTGTAAATATGGTTGAGTAGAGGATCGGTCAGGAGATAAAATGGTACCGAGTGCTGTCCTAAGGGCATGTTGGTCACCATGCAGCAGAGTAGATTTATGAGTGCCAGCAGCATGTCACAGGGGCACCATGAATTAAAGACATTAATGGGGAGTGATAGAGTGACAATATAAAAATGAATGCATGTCAGTCAATAAGAACAGGCTTTGGAGCATCCTTTTAGATTTCACCTTTGTGACTGAATGAGATTTTAATGCCTATTCCCATTTAGTTAGGATAAATAGTTGTCTGGCTTAAAAATTACAGACTGACCTATCAGAATGAAACTGACAGAGGTATCAGCAGATGTGTGTGTGTGTGTGTATACACGTAAACTGTTTGAAAGGATTGTAACACAGAGTGGCTGTAAGTGAAAGAGAGAGAGAAAACAGAAGCGATGGGGTGATACATCTGTGAGAAAGTGGAGCAGAAACACAGAGAGAGCAGCTAACAGCCACACTGTAGCAGAGGAGTGTGGCAGACAGGGAACAGTATCTGTTTTTCTCCATCAGGTCTCATGAGATAGCAATGCAGCAGACATAAATTGGGTTGCAAACTAGACAAAAAGCACAAAGGAGCATATACCTCTAAAGTCACACAAAAAATACCCAGCTCCTCCAGAGATTAAATTATTTGCTCCTTCACTTAGCATTTGAATACCAAGTTATCGCTGACAAGTTTGCTAAAAAGCTTGAACTTAATGTTTGATAAAGTGTATTTAGAACTAGAATAATCAAGGGCTGGCGCCATGTTAGCACCAGTCAGCTCAGGATTCAGTAATTGGTGCAGAACGGACTCTTTCTCTCTACAGCAGTGTTAATGGTTTTTAATGCAAGTTCAGGTAGGGATGCATAATGTTCGAATTTTGGTGCCTGCAGTCCACATGTCAAAGTGTCCTTGGGTAAGACACTGAACCCCCAGTTGCCCCCGATGGTTAGAGCCATTGGCTGAGTTGGCGCCGCAGATGGCTGCCCCGGTTCTGTACCGGAAACAAATTCCTTGTGTGTAACATACTTGGCCAATAATCCAATTATCCTTATCCTTATGTTCACACTGCACAATGCAAGAACTAATATAGGCAAACCATGCAAATTAAAGGAAGTGCATGACACAGCTAATGACACATTTCTACCAATGGTTAAAAATCAATTCTTGTGAAATAACAATGTAACAAAATTACTTACACACTTTATCAGACCAAAACCTACATAATGAAATGGAGTTGTTGATTAAGGAGGTCAGTGGAGAGCATAGCTTATCAGCTGATGAGTTGCACTGAATGGCTACCCTGCATTTTAACAACAAATACTTGGCACATGTTGCTTCTCCTTATTTAAAGCACCATATGCCTACAAATTTGGAAGTTAATAAGCGTTTAAAAACATATTTAATTTTATCTGTAACGAAAGCTGCTGCTGACAGTGGAACAGATAAAGCAGCTGTGTGTAGTGAAGGAACTGCCCAGTGCTCAACATCATATCATGAACTCCATGAAATACAACCCTCCTGTCTAAAATGGGTTCTGTACACGACATGTTTTTCATTATAGATGCAGCAGTTAAGTCCCGTCACATGCATAAATATAACCAGTCAAAAGAGAGCTCTGTCCACTTCTTGCTAGGGAAACTAGAATCCATAATTCACCACAATAAAAAATGATGAAATGCAAAGTAAAACTAGCAAAAGAGATAACTCACAGAATTTTAGTCTCATTACCACTGCACACCGGCCAAGGCGGCAATGACTCCCTTTTGTGTTGTAATGTGACATATTGTGGGAAAAAAACATTTTTAAGAACATTGCTCAAAACCTACATTGTCCTCAGAAATTCTGCTGTCTTGCAAAACCTAAGCATGTAATGCATTTATTTTTCAAATGATCACTGTGAAGAAATGTTAATGTGCACATTCAGAAAGTATAATCTGCAATTTGTTCACATTCTTGTTAGCATTAGTTTGTAATATGTAACTGGGTGGAAGAGGTATACAATCTTTTTTTCTGCACCAGTCATCAAATCCATAGCATCACTTTTAATAGCATTAAATAAGGCGTATTTTGGAATAAGTAATCTCCAGACTTTGGAATTTAGATGTTATTAAACAACAATAGCTCATCCAGGTATCCTCATGCATATGCTTGTTTATGAGAATACACCACCCGCATATTTGTATGTGGATATACACGTGCGTGTGCAGTCACACATCCTGACAAATCTGTGAATATGTGCATGATTATACCTGTTCTATATACTGTAAAGCTGGCTTTCCGTATATCTATAATCCTCTGCTATATTTCATTTTCTTGTTATACTTCTGAAGATTTGTCCTCAACTCCAGCTGTAGCCCCTGTTCAGAGCCGTATTATCTCCGCTTGCAGACGCTGCAACTTGTTAACATATAAGTAGTGGTACTCTAGACAAGGTTGTAGGTGTGTTGGTGCAGCGGGTAGCTGGCCCTAGCCTCAGCAAAGGTTTGTCCTCTATAGCGGCGAAAAAGTAGTTTGGGTCATTCCTGAATGCCAGTTCAGGAAATAACAAAACATTTCTATGTGAAGAGAACAATCCTTGCTACACTGTGTTTACTATCAGTCGCACTATACTTGCACAGTTGCTACCATTAATCCAGTTGTCCCAGCTGCTCTAACAATCCCGCCTGCATGTAGTCTATAAAGCTTGCTTGTTGCACAGTATAGAGTATTAGTTCTGACAGCATTATAGCAGGAATCTAACATCTGAGGCCTCTTTCATTTCAGGCCACAACTGCTCGCTCTCCTTTCCAAGCTCTGTCCCAGACAATTTTACTCATCTTCTTTTAGGTATGCAGCTCACACATGCACAGCCAATGGTATTCCTGTGATCTACCTGAAGGAAATACCAGTTTTGCTTAAGAGAGGGTGAAGACTAGGTGTTTTGCCTACATACAATCTCTATACAGTATCTACCCATTATGAGGCAAATTCCATCTCCTCTCAGTTGAGTCTGGGGCCCACCATTGCCTTTTGAACTGTCATCTTGAAGGGTTTCTGCCAGCTGCACTGTTCTCAAGCTGCAGGGAGATCCCATTTGCCTCTGCTAATCCACTTTTCCTGCCTTATTTTCCTCCTCTTCTTGGTCCTGCCTGTGTTTTCTTTTCATCTCGATTTCCTCCCCCTATTTCTTCTCTCTATCAGTTCCAGCCCCGTTGAACATAAGCTCATATGTGAGTGATACCTTTGCCAAAATCAGCTGGACTGCCAGAGAAGAGCAACGGGACTCACAGCTTTATGTGGCTTATATGAATAACCGTAAGCTACTTTTCCTGTCCCTGCCTTCCTAAAGATTGCTAGGAGTTTTTAGTGGCATTATGTTTAGGTGCAACTGGGAAGGTTTTATATAAACATCTGGCAATATACTGTAAGTCTAATGTCTGCATGGCTACTTCCGTCATTTTCATTTCCTCAATGTATTAAGATTTATTTAAAGTTATGTATAGCACAAGTACAAAATAATAGATATAATAATAATAAATTAAGAATATAGTAACTGCTTATCCCACCTCCTTTTTTGATAGCATGAATGCTAATACAGACTTGCTACTTGTGCACTTCTTGTGCTTGGCTGTGCAGGTGATGTAACTGGCGACTTTCAGAGGCTGTAAACTCTTCTCAAAGTTTCCACATTATTGATGGGCTAGAACCCGGGACAGTGTACACCGTACGCCTCATGGCCAAGAGGCTGCTTGATAATGCTAGCATTTTTGAGGATATTATCCAGACTCGAGTCAAAGGTGAGAGGAGAGAAAGGTGTTGCAGTCAGTAGAGTTTAGTGGTTGTGTTCTAACCTGTCATAACAACTGACAAGTTGATACTGACTGTGGAGAATGTTTATTTTCTTTACATTTCTGTGCATTGTTTTTTTTTTTATTTTGTATCATATATAATTTCAGAAGATACAATATTCCAGCTGAAGAGAGTAGGACTTAAATGCCATGGGAAAACATCCTCTTAAACATCCGTTCTGAGTCAAAGATAAAATTGTATGAGGGGAGCTTGAGGCGACATACTCAAATAGATCTGTGTGTTAAGTTGATCCTGGAGCTCTGTGTCTCTTTGTTATTTTTGTTCTTAGGTGTGGGAGGTCGGCAGAGCAACTTTTCAACCCAGGGATGGTTCATTGGGACCATGTGTGCCGTGGCACTCCTCACCCTTGTTGGACTCATGGCCTGCTTTGTGCGGAGAAATAAAGGTGGCAAGTATGCAGGTATGCCGCCGCCGCTCCAGCGACAAGACATGTTCTCCATGGAAAAAGGTCAGTTAGTAATTGACCAGGGCTGGGACATCTTTGTTGTTTTGCTTCAGGAAGGGAACCAAAATTAAGCTTCTGAAATGTACATTACATGTGCAAGGTGTCAGTCTGATTTGGTGATATTTAATTATCTTTATCGATTTTTCAGGATGAGGCTTTGATTGGACTCAGTGTTGTTTTGGTTAACTTCCTGAATGTATGAAAATGTGCAATGGATCCGCATCATGACCACGACCCTGTTTGGAAATGCAGTGTTGCTCACATGTTGGACACCTGAGCTTGCCAAGCCCAACACCATTGACCCTAAATGGAGTGTCCATTAGAAACTTGCAGCTAGTGTAGTTTTACTGCATCTGAAATGGCTTGTGTGGTCACATTAGTTCTGCTTGGTACCTTTGATTACACACTTTGCCAAGCAGCATTAGTAAGAGTCCACTGTTTTTGTTCCACTGCTCCTCGCCCCTCACCTGTGCAGACCTTCCTGGTTCTTACTCTCTTGTATCAGAGCCAAATTCACTCTTAGTGGCACCTACCTGCAAAGTGTCTCCTCACACTGATTCTTTCTTCTTAATATTTTTTCTCTTCTTCTCCACAAAACTACACATCTTTGTCTTCAGTAGCCTTTGACATGAAACGCTGAATATTTCATCAACTCCTTTAGCTTCCCCTTTGCCCATCCAGCTCTTTTCGTGAAACCCTTCTGTCTGTCTTGAAAAGCACCTGGTATATTTTAAAGGATATTTATACAGAGAGCTGATGTGTAGCACTTTGTGCAGACACTCAGAAGAGAGGCTTTCAGTGTACAAACTTGATACAAAGTTTACACAGTCATATTTAGTTGTTCTCAAAAGCCTTTTGGGTATGACTTTTGAATTTCAACTCCTGTGTGCACTCAGGTGAAGAAGTTCAGATCATTTATTGTTGTACACCTGCTAAGCATAAATGGTCAGTGTTGGCTTTGCTCTAGTTTCCAAGCACTGTCTGATAGGAGGTTGATTAAAATGCAGATAATACTGTTTATTTCCCTTTGGAAAATGTTAAAGACAGGAGGAGTGTTTTGTTATCTGAATGTGAAGTACTACAAATACAATAATTGTGCTCCAACAGTACATGGTATATGTAACTACGTCTAAGTGCTGCTCTTTAACAATTGTGCTGAAATATTTGTCTTGCCCTCCTGCAGTGAAAGAGAAGGAGGACCTCCACCCCGATCTGGAGTCACAAGGAATGAATGATGACACCTTCTGTGAATACAGGTGAGCTATAATCCTGTTCTGCAAAAGAAAGCTGTGTTGAGGAAGTGACATCTTTTAACCACTTTGAAATTAAGTGCATTGTTTCAAAATAACTGTAAGAACTATATGTTGACTATTTCCTGGGTGAAAAAGTAATTTCTCATGTGTCACAGTAATGTTTTTCTCTCCCAAAAGCAAACCTTGCATTCATGAGCTTTACCAGGATCAGCCTAAAGGCCAGTGCTCTCGTCATTTAATGGGCTAGGTAACCACACAGCGGTTAAGAGTAGCAGGTGATATTCACCTTAAGCTTTGTTTCCCTTTAGCTGGAATTGCAGAATGTGTTTTTACCTAGTTCTTAGATTCTTATTGTGTGCATGTGTGGGTTCACAGTGTTTGTTCCTCTAGGGATCAGCAAGTTATTTTGTGTGTTGCTGGTGGTGCATCAGCATGCGTTCGTGCTTGTACATTACTTGTTTCGTCTCCTATTGAATCTAAAATTACATTTGCCTCAAAATCAGTTTGTGCTTGACCTCTGTGTAATATAATAATAGCTGACCTACAGCATGTATAGGTCAAAAACCTGAGCTTCACTGCCGTACCAAAGCTTGTTAAGAATTGTTGGTAAAAAAAAATGTAATACAGTGATAGTCCTCATTCAGGAACATGTCTGTTTCATCAAAGTGGAATATGAAATACCCCCATTAATGCAGAAAGCACAGCCAGGCCTACATTTGTTTTTGTAGCTTGTTTCAGTCACTTAGTCACAAACTTGGAATGATTTGCTCTTTTTGATTTAATACAGTATGTGGTGTAGAATTTCTGATGTTTAAAATATGCAACTGCATACATGTTTAAGCTAATCATATAATATTCAGGCAAGTATGTTAATATTATGCAAATCAGGGTAATGGCCAAACACACAAGGAAGCTTGTTCTTGATTTCGACATTCATGTAGTCTTCACTGAAGCAAAAATAAAGGTGGTAGTAACTGTACTTTGCAACCAAAACATTTTTGTTATGCATTTAAGCTCTTAGATGGGCTTATGGTGTAGATACATCTGATGTACTGTAGAAAAATGTCTTTGAGGATACTGGAGCTTACTGGATCTTTTAGTGTTGTTGTAGGGTACTTGACAGATGTTGATTTACTGAAAAATGCTGGTTCACATTATGAATTAAGGTGTATTCTGTGGAATATTTTTAACAGAGGCCTCTACTACAGACATACAAATTGATTGTAGATGTACAGTAATCACTGGAAAACATCATATATTCACTGAAACAGGCATAGACTAAGCATGGGTAGAGAGACTAGGCATTTATGCCCAAAACACACAGCTGTTGTGCTTTATAATTGCTGTTGAATTTCCATTGTTGGCATTGTTTAGCTACTACATTGACAATTTAGGGAAATTGACTGAATCCTATTTTGCTTGACAGCACTGCAGCAACTGTGTGACAGTGGTTTGTTTGTGTCTGCACACGCAACAGAAATCACCTAAAATAGCCTCTTTTGTCAGTTTTGATTCTGCTCGTTGTCATATTATTCAGAATGTGATTACTCACGAGTGTGTGGTTGCTGCCAACTGCTTTCCTGTGATTCTTCCAAAAGCTAATTCTGTTAAAAAGGAAAAATGTAATGTCAAGTGCATATAGCCCACCTCATTAGTAGATTATATAGCTTAAATATGTAATGTACTGTACTTTTTTTTCCCGTCGCTTAGCTCAAAAAACTATTTTTGTGTGGGTTGATGGGGTTGTCAATCAGCGGTTTTAAAAATGATTGCTGTACAGATGCAGAGGTTCCTTTCAGACACACTTTAGTTATTGTTATTGCTATTTCTTTGAGGTTTAAACACTGATATAGGGCTTAGAAAGGTTTGGATGATAATTTAACACTGTCATACACTGACTTCCAGTGAAATCACATCATATGACACTATTATTTTGTGTTATTGTTCTACATAATTTTGTTGTCTAGATTAATCATACTAAACAAATTGTAATGAAAAACTAACCAGATTCTTATTGCTGTATTCTCTGCATGTGTGAAGAATTTTGTCAGTTCTATAACATAACAACTTACCATATAATTTGTCATGTTGTTATATATATACAGATATTTTCAGAAAACAATATTGTGTTATTGATTTTCTTAAGTTTACTTTGGAGCCATTGGTTAATCCAAGTTTGTGAGTTGGTGTAGATGTTTACTGCAGCTATCTCTTTAGAATTCCAGTCATGGGTCTGTTTCATGAGGCTGTTCTGACTGCTGCTCCCCCAGAGTGCCCTCCGACTTAGTATGATGTTGTTTTACTGGCTTTAGAGCTGGATTCAGGGCTCTCTCGTGCCCTTTGAATCTCTGAAGGCAATAGACCAGCCCCTGGCATCCCACGTGTCCTGGGAGCTGACAAGTGGTAATTATACTTCATATGATTTCCCTTTGGAGTCCTCTGTTGCTTTGTCCCTCCGTCCACTGCAAGAACAGCAGGTGTGAAAAGCTGGAGTAGGCTGTTAAGCCAACACTTTTTTGTTTGTTTTTACCTCTTCTCATATCTTTATGTGCAGTTCCAGAGATGGCAGCAGATATGGGAAAGTTTTCTTTCAGACACTTGTAAACTAAAATAAATACAACTTCAGATTCAAAGGGGGGAAATTCTACCTAGCACCTGAAGTTTATTCTGCCCCAAAACCAAGTCAGCATGGGTCAGTAGCATAATGGCAAATTTAATTACCTTCTGTCCGGTGGTGTAGCTCCATCTCTCACCTGTTTGTGTGGTTTCACAGCAACAGCTGAGACCGAGCTTGATATGACCAAGGTCTCAAATGAACTGAGGCTCAGAAGCACTTGGCCCCATTTTATCACTGTATTCAAAGTCACTGTGGGCGGGCTGCTGTGGCTGTGGCATTCTACTGCTCTTAGATAACAGCCACTTATCTTCAGCGCTTTAGAGTTGTCAGAGAAAGAAGGTTTGATAAGAGCTAGAATGCGGACTCTATGTGACTTGCATGGTAAACAGCCTCATGAAACAGGATAGATAAGATTGGTTATTAAAAATCCCTCTGTAGGAGACTTGATTTGTAATCTTAGCTTGAACCACGTCTCTGTGCTAAAATGCTGCTCAAGGTGTCAACCAGAGTATGCTTCAAATGGCGTTATCATATACCAGCCACCTGAGCATCGTCTCTGAACACAGACGCTGTGTGTTATGAATACCAAACCAAAGGGGGGAGAGGGGTGTTACCAAACACGGTTTGGTGTATGGAATTGGAAAAGAGGACAGGGAGGAAAAATATCCTCAGTGTTTTGAGGTGGCCACACGTCTTGTAGTGAAACACCTGTAAGTTGGCCAGTTGCCCAGCTTTAAATTGGCATCTGATCTCCTCGGCCTGCGTGTGGGGCCCCTTGGGCCTACCAGGGATGACAGGCTGTTTGGTCCACCCCTTCCCCTTGCTTCTCAGCCTTGAGCCCCCCCACCCACCCATATACGCATACACCTCCCACCCCTCTTGTTTCTCACTACACTCTGGCAATTTCCATCACTGGCTCTAAAGAGATTTGAAATTGCCTTTGGTCCTGAAGCCTTGGCAATTAGCAATTAGTGAAATGATTGTAGCAAACCCTCTCTGCCTCCCTTGTGCTCCCGTTCCTGCTGTGCAGCTGCTGCATCCACTCTGCCTACCATCCGTACTTATGTGTTGGAACCAAAAAAACTTGCTTTGTGATTGCGAGTGCGTGTGTCTGTCAGTGCAGCCAAGCACTTAATAGTCTTATGTACTGTACATGCTCTGTATGCTGGTATTTGTGTGCTTGTATGTCAAAAAAAGCCTCTTAGAGCCATATATGTTACTTGCAAACATCTGCCTGATCTGCTATACAATGTGTTTATGCACTGCACCACTGACTCTGATCATCTTTCTCTGTTGTTGATGGTAGTGACAGCGAGGAGAAGCCACTGAAGGGCAGTAGCTTGTGTTCCATGAATGGAGATGACACAGTGGGGGACACCGTAAGCAGAGACAGCCTGGTTGACTACACTGATGGTGGAGGAGAATTCAGCGAGGACGGTTCATTTATTGGTGAATATTCTGGATGCAAGCATCGAGGCTCTGTTAGTGAACCCAGTGGACTAAGCCCGGTCTCTGCATAACGCCAGGCTCCAGTTGAAATGGTCTATTTCAAATCCTTTCAAGATCCTTTTTTTTAAATTCAGCTTCCCTGGTGGTTAGTGTAGCTTCAATAGCCAAATATGAGGGAATAAAAATGATTCAAATGCGCAGATGTTTTTACAGCAGGTGAACATTTTGCTAAGGGACCAAACAGGAAAAAATACACTCACTATACATATCAGTGTGAAAACATCTGAGTCTTGAGGACTGTATCATTTGAGTGTTTCATGATTGCAGTGACATTAGTGACATTAGTGACATTGTTTTTTCTACCTAACAGCTATAATCTTCAGCGGTTTACACTGATATTGCTCTGTAACAACAGTAAAAAATACTGAGTGTCACCACATGTTTTTTTTTACACAGTAAATGAAAAAAAATGATAAACACAGAACTGTGCAGGATGTCCTATTTATTGAAAACAGAATCACTCTCATGATTATCAGTACCTAGTCACAAGTGCTTCAGTCTGTTGATCTGTATTTAACATTTTTGATGTTGTTAATATCCAAATATGTGAAAGCTGTATTTTTAAACTATGAAAATGTCCTTTTATATCAAACATGTTTTATGAACTTTTTTATTGCTTTTTAACACAATGAACTCAAGAACAAAATATATAGTTCCCTCAGTCATGCCCTTATAGTGTGGGGTGGGATTTACAGCAGGGATAAATCAGTTGTTTAGCCAGAAGGATAAAGTGTATTTCTGCATTGTATTAGTGGAATCATCAGTGCATTTATTTAAAGAACTTGTCAAAACTGTAACTAGTGAATAAAGCTTTGACCTTAGAGCTTCCCCTCTACTGAAGAGGGAGATTTCAGAGTAAAGCAATATGCCGTACTCATTTGTTTTTTTTAATCATGTGCCTTGATGCTGGTGGATAATACTGGATGAATGACTACATCTCTGGGCTATTTTTATCTTGAAAATCTAAATGGAAAACCCCTTGAATGTTTCTTAGTATAATGTATTTTGCTGCCCATTTTCTGTTATTTAAAAGCTGATTTTCAAGTGATGTCCTTCCACTGAACTGGAATGTCATTACTTTATTATTTAACAAGTCCTCCTTTGGTGCTTAACTATTTCTAAAATTCAACTGAAAATTTTGTTCACAACCTAAGCACACAGATAAAACATACCGTATTAAGATCAGTATCGTTAAAGGTGAAAGTGAAATAGTTTTTCTTGTATCGTCAGTGAATCCTCACATGCACAATACAAAATCTCAGCTAAGGAAAATGATTGACTCATCCATTGTTTGGAGGGAGCCTCTTTAAATGATACAGCCCAACTACCCCTCTGATTGTTTTTGAGCCATTTAATCATTTTTCCTTTCTTACCACAATTTTTATTTATCCAAAAATTCCAAAATAAAACAAAAATAAGCCACTCCTGAAATCCACATTTTAAATTCATCATGCATTTAACGATGCACATACTGTAACTCTGCAGAATATCTTGACTCGCAAGCTGAGCATTTATTAAGGTCAAGGTGTTGTTAGAATATATTTGACCTTTTAGCTTCTCCCTGTCCAAATCCTCCCACATCTGCCACTGGACTTCTTGCATATCTCTAGAGACCCTTCTTCTGTTTTGAATGCACAGCCTCCGTGTAGCTCTATAGTCTGTCTGTCTATATCCTGCTGGTTATAAATAGGCATTCTAGCTGTAATCAAACCAGACCTTGGGTAGTGGAGTTGAAAAGCACTCCATGCTTCACAGATAAAGGTCATTTAAAGAGATAATCCCTGTATTGTCAGGGATTACGCCCTCATCCGTTTTAAAATTGCTTTTTCTGTGGAAAGTTAAACCCTCTAAACAACAACAAAAGATTACTCCAGTCAAAGCTGCTGCGAGTGTCACACAAGAAGCTTTTTTGCTTCACTAAATCTATTCTGCAGACATGCAGGTGACCCTTTCAAAATTCATAATAGTCCTCTTTTAGAGCGAGCGCAGGTCAGAATGTTAACATTAATTCAAGTTAAATGGAATGGCCTTGTTTGTTGCCTGGTGCTGGTAGATGCTGCACACAAAATCATAGATCCTAGCTCGAAACTGATCACTCCAGTCGATTTGATTGGAGCTGATATTTAGGCTAAGTGCCCTGGAAATTGCCTAGTGGGAGGAAATTGATAGCGTGCTCACACATGCAGTAATTTCAGCTCAGTAGTCATGCGTTATAACCACTCAGCGCTGTATCAACTTTAAACCAGCTGAAAACACGACAAGGACAGGCACTGTGCAAAAAACAACAGCATGCACTAAAGAATTTGTTTTTCTAGGATGCCAGATATTGAACTTATACTGCAACTACCCAAGAAGGCAGTATGATGGCTATGAAGATCTCATCAATAATGAACACCCCTGAGAGGGGAACTGTGGCAGGTGTTTCCAGAGATGTGCTTAAGGAAGATCTTTTCTTTGGCAGCTTTTTGCAGTTAAAGGATTTGGCAGAAGCATTAGTATCAGGAGTTAAAGCAACATCACAGCTCATGCTTTTTTTAAAGGGACAAACAGCCAGTCGGTCCTATTGAGATCAACACAAACAAAAGCTCTCAGGACAAGCTGTGAGCCCTTTATCAGAAAAAGGGGTTAAGGGCGGGGGGAGAAAAGGGGTGTTGAGTATTAAAGGTTGTTTGTCTGCATGTCTCTTTATTGAAACCTGCTTCAGCAACCTTACAGGTGAAAAGAAAAGAGCTCAGAAAGACGGTTCATGACTTTGGCACAGAATGATTATTTTATTTTCCATATTCTTCTTCAGTGTTTGTCTGCGTTTTTGAAGTGGATGTGTGATAAAGACCTGGGTTTTAATTTTTATTGAAGTCCAAAGCAGACTCACAAGACAAAGGCCCACCCGTGCATTCAAAAGATTACTGAAAAAGCCAAAAATGCATTTTGTTTTTTTCACAGTTTACTAAAATGTCCTAAACTGTTGCTTCTGTTGATTCCACTTTCATTAAAAAAAAGACCGTAAAATAAATCTAAATGCATCAATATCAAAATAAAATTGTCACAGTAACACCAGGAAGAACTCTCATCTAATTTAGGTCTCAGCCATCCTCCTCCCCTATTTCAACTATACCCACCTTCTGCTAAAATTTAATTTGTCTCACTAGAATGCAAATGGAAAGGGGTGATTCTGCATACAGAGAATCCTTTTAGAGTGCTATTATTTCCCTGGAAAACTGCTTTAGATGCACGCCCAAACACACTCCGATACCAGCCAGAAATTGTGTGTGTGCGGCCTTATATTGCTCATGTTGTGGGGACATCAATCTGTTTACACAGTCACGTTGAGGGGACTTACAGAATTTCTTACAGCATCAAAAAGCTGGTCCTCAAAACATAAGTAATTACATTTTAGACATTTCAGAGTGATGACTTGGTGTAAGATCAGGCTTGGGTTATGTAAGTAGCTTCTAAAGGTTAGAGCAAGTCTCCAGGAAATGAATGCAATTCATTGTAATGTCCCCTGAATTAATGGAGAAAAAGTGTGCATAAAAGAGGGTGAGTAGAGCAGGAGGAGGCAGGGACACTCATGGCAGAAACTAATGAGACACACATCGCTAATATGATTATAAAATCAGACTGGCGATGTCGGAGAACAGGGGGTCGCTTTGGTTGAGACATCTGCACAGGACCAAGTGGACACTGTGATGTTCAGTTGTACCATGCCACCTCAAAGTCAGTTGTAGGGATTGCAGATGGTGAAAAGGATACGTACAATGGCTGATGTTCAAATAATGACAATGTATGCATAAGCAAAATGGAGCTTGCTGAATGATAATGTGAAATGACTCAGGTATGTGTATTGTTTGAGACTGCGGACCGGGCCTTTTATGGTCAACACATCCGGTGTTTTTACTAGCAAAGGATTTTATCTAGACCGCTGCTGGAGGATTAGATAAGAGATTTGTAAGTGCTGTGTGGGTGATGAATAATTCTCACCTTCCTTTCTTAGCCTAGGGGTGTCAAAGCAACTGCTTGGCTCAAACTACAATCCATACACAATATACGAGTATGCTCAAAGTCTCTGTGACACAGTCGTGTGAAAAATAGCATCCATAACTTGCACAGTTGAATCAAAAAAGGACTTTATTTGTTCATGTTTGAACACTTCGGTTGCCCTCTCAAAATGATTTTTATTTTTTTGTAAGTACCTGTTAATAATTCAGTTGGTCCATTTTAACAAAGCATCAAAATATAAAATGCAGCAGTGTGTGTTCTTTTTTTGTTTGTAGGCAGTAATCAGACTTTGGTATTGTACAAACAGCCCCCTAAAGAGACAAATTGAGCTTGAAACCTTATCCTGATATTAGGTTTTAGTCTTATTAAAGTACAAACGGCTGGCGGCGGCAAAAGAGAAGCTGAGTGGACATAGGGAGTGCATCTGCTGTGCTTTACAAACTAAAAGGAAATGGGTGATTTCAGTTTGCTAACGTTTGCTAATAAGCAAGTGATGAGCAGCCCTGGGTATCAAACAGAAGGGAGAGATATTTTGTCAATTTTTATGTTTCCAAAGTAATTCTTTCTCTATGAATTTGTTCCTAAGATGCATTTCTTTTAGAACGCTGGTCTTGAATTATTCATGACACCTTCATTAAAACATCTCTATTTGCATAACACACAGGGACAGCGCAAGATGCATTAGGGCTTTTGATCCCGGTGTACATGTGAACTAATTCAACACTGAACTGGACCACCAAAAAGCCCAACAACATGGAGGTCTTTAAAGGTGCATTAATGAAGATTAATTAGAGTAGCTTTTTATGTCTTAAAATAAACCGATAATAAACCTTAGGTAGCCTGATGTTTTTAATGAAAGCTATCACACAAAGATAAAAGTGAGGACAATAACCCACTTGAAGAAGTTAATAACGATAAAAGAGATGGGATTCTGGAGAACTGCTTCTCTGTAGAAGCAAGAGCACTGCAATTATATTTTTTAGGAGGCGATGACAGTTGTTTGTCAAATGTGAGTTTCCAGATGTAACTATATCATATTACATGTATCCATATCATATTTTGCTTGTTTGCCCTCATTGTAGCAGTCAGGGTAATGAGCACAGTCTGCCACATTAGAAAGACAGGCATATCAAAAGACAGATAAAGCTGAACTTCATTAATAAATGTAGCTCCAATTGGGAAAATATCAAATGTGGATTCATTCACCACCTGCCACACACTGGCAAAAACAGAAAGCACAGTTGTAAGTAAAGACAAATTTAAAAACATGTCAATTAGTCTGAGGCAGAGTCATGTCTGTCCTGTGTAGGCTGTAAAGTATCATGTTATTCTATTCAAAACTGTGAAACACAACCCATACCCCACACATTTAAACCATCCAAATTAATATCTTAAAATATCAGTCTCTTCAACAGTGTTTCAAAAAGTCTGACACAAGAGGATACCTGAACCATGCAGCCCATTGGCTAACTGGATTCTTCACCACCATTGTGTGGCTTGGAGTGCTCAGACCTTTACCTTTGTCAATGATGCTACTTTTTAAATATACTGACACCTCTATGTGATGTCTGTGTAATTACAGCCCTTAATGTTATTTGTCATCGTCTCATTGTGGTCACTTCATGGCAGTCCATCCAAAAGTTGTCAGAACATTTTACTTATTGTGCTTAATTTTACCACAAATGAAGCTCATGGTGCCCAGTTACCTTAACATGCTGTAATAAATTATTGTACTGTATAAGCCTACTATGAAAAAATGCCACACAACTTTAAATGCAATATCACAGCCACATTCTCCTGCAGCACTAGTCAGTGCTGTTTCAAACACATGCACTCAGACAGCATGTTTGAGTTGTGCTTAATGTGCAGTAACATCACTAATAATTACAT